GGGGTCCAGGGTCAACATTTGAAGCCAGGACCTTCTGAATACGAAGCAGAAATTTTAATCTTTAGCTTAGTGCGAAAAGGGCTTACTTAAACAGGAACTACTCGTGACTTAAGACCATGCCGAGTACATTGGATATTTGTATGGTTACGTAATTTTGTTTTAATTTATCAGTCAGTTAAAATTTCTGTGATATTATCGTCCAAGCATCGTCGTAAATACTGATTACGAATCGATTTTATCGTTGTCTTTGAGAATGGACGGTTCTTTGATTATTTAATTAAATTTCATTATTCAGAGATGAATGTTGGGTTGCCCTGTCAATTTTGAACTGAAAAGGAAGTTATGAGGAAACTGACGTGGCCTATTTTAAGTTATTATAACAGCGTTTTCCTGTAAGGATAAAGGAAATGTCTTTAAAGTCCCAGTCAGGATGGCCGATCTCTTGACTGAATTTCAAACTCGAGACATCCGGGTTGCGACATACGGTCTTGACTGCAGTGCCATGTTGAACGGTCCAACTTTCATATTACTTTAATTCAGAAGGTGCCATCTCAGCGTATTGTTCTGCTAACCATAATTCATTGCGGTAGTGTTCAGTCTGAGCAATCAATAGTTGCCCCTGCTGATCAAGAACTTTTCCCTTGTTTTGGAACTCGGGAGTTCATTACACTCGTCAGTAAATCCTCCGTTTGGAGTGCACTTACTCCAAAGCAAATCCAATCTAATTTACGTCCTTAAAATGTGCTTTACTCCGTTCTACACATCGACACTTCAATTTAGAGTTTCCTACCAAAATATTTGTAAATATTTTCTGTTTATCCAACAAGTTCAACACGACAACTCAATTTCTGGCTCCTTAACAAATAATATAGTACAAGATTAAGAGAAATTTGTAACATTTGTAACAAGTGGATGTTATATACCGCTGACTAACTGTACGAGGATTACCTACGGCTTCAGGTTACCTGAACTTACTTTTGTTGACATTACGACAGGAATTGTTCTGAATTTTTATATAGCCTGCCCTTTCGTCGCTTATACTGGATAGATTTTTTTTTTGGGATGGTCATTGGTTCATGTACCGACGTGAATACTAACTACCCTGAGGGTTTTCATAATTTTCTTCAATCTTTCCAGTCAAATTTTGGGATACTACCTTAAAAGTTGGTTTACGATCGCGTCTGTCCAAATTCTGTTCTAGCAATAATTCATGTCTGTTCAACATTTCAAACACTGCGTGAACTATGCAGTCGACAGATTTGTCTTTAAATATTCAGCACGTCTTTATTCATTAATCGCGTTTAATCTCCCGATTTCTGAAATCCCGCATTTTCTGTTCGTCAATGTAGTTTATAATTTAATATCATCCAAAGGCAATCTGATCATAATACCATTAGCTTTGTTCTGGAAGATGTATTTTTCAGCAGTGCAGCTGGTTTTGTTTGCTATTATTTCTTGAACTCCATGAAACACCGAATGATAAATATAATTTTAAATGTAATGTGTCTGATTGATTATATCGATTATTTAACGACAGTATTTCAACCACTTCGTTTTCGTTGCGTCTAACACTGAAATGAGTTGTGAAATTGCGAAAGATATGAACGGATATGATCGTGGATAATTTTAAGGAACTACGTATATTTAGCATTAGTCCGCAGGTACTCGATAAAACTACTGCAAAGTCAACATTGCCGGATATCCAAAGAAAGATTTGATCCTTGGACACGAAGTTTGACATGTAGCCTTATTTTTAGGCAGCATCTCAGCATTTTGCAGAAATGATATTGAATACTGGATGGGTTGGAGAATCTGTTATAAGTAAATGTCTGAAAAATTACCTTGATCTTGTAACAAAATTAACTATCGTCTATTACTTGACACCGCTTTTTTAATCCAGTAAAAAATGTTTCACACACCTTACATATTTTAAGAAAAGTATATTAGCCTACATAAAATTCTGCTATATTATTTCTTTCCAACTTCATTCGAAACATTTTCTGTAATTCGCCCCCATTTGATCCGGCAGGCCTTTGTATTAAGAAGGCGCTTCTCCGATCGTCAGTTGTCCACGCTGTGACGTCAGCCGCGTCCTACTACCAGGCGAAACTAGTCTCTCATCACTTCAAAGCTGCTGCTTTTTCGAAACGAAACTCCTCATAAATTCGTTGAATCTGTTAGTTTTATTGCGTTTGTTGTGTGTGTGTCTATGACTTTACATGTGATTTGTTCATTTCATAAAGCTGGAAAACACTGAACTGTTGTTTCTCTACACAGGAACGAATTCCAGTTTGTGAAGTTACAGAAGACAAACCGGCAACTGTGGCTACCAACGACAAACTCAGCTCTGCACAGCAAGGTCAGTTGTATCTCTTTATTTGTAAATGGCGACTGTAGTTTGCATTCGTGATGGATCTTGGCGATTGTGTATTATGGATATAATTGATCTGTTTATGGCAGAGCTATAAATTATATAGCAGAGAGATACTGTAGTCATGTTGTAGATTTTTTCAGTGACGAAACTGTTCAACACAAAGTATATTACATTTATAAACCCGTAAAATATTTTCGGATTTCATTAAATATTAACCACACATGAAACTTTTACATATTTTAAGAAAAGTATATTAGCCTACATAAAATTCTGCTATATTATTTCTTTCCAACTTCATTCGAAACATTTTCTGTAATTCGCCCCCATTTGATCCGGCAGGCCTTTGTATTAAGAAGGCGCTTCTCCGATCGTCAGTTGTCCACGCTGTGACGTCAGCCGCGTCCTACTACCAGGCGAAACTAGTCTCTCATCACTTCAAAGCTGCTGCTTTTTCGAAACGAAACTCCTCATAAATTCGTTGAATCTGTTAGTTTTATTGCGTTTGTTGTGTGTGTGTCTATGACTTTACATGTGATTTGTTCATTTCATAAAGCTGGAAAACACTGAACTGTTGTTTCTCTACACAGGAACGAATTCCAGTTTGTGAAGTTACAGAAGACAAACCGGCAACTGTGGCTACCAACGACAAACTCAGCTCTGCACAGCAAGGTCAGTTGTATCTCTTTATTTGTAAATGGCGACTGTAGTTTGCATTCGTGATGGATCTTGGCGATTGTGTATTATGGATATAATTGATCTGTTTATGGCAGAGCTATAAATTATATAGCAGAGAGATACTGTAGTCATGTTGTAGATTTTTTCAGTGACGAAACTGTTCAACACAAAGTATATTACATTTATAAACCCGTAAAATATTTTCGGATTTCATTAAATATTAACCACACATGAAACTTTTTTATATATATTTGAGAGCTTTTTTTTTTGCTGATTTATTTCGATTCCATTTGTATTGGTTATCGTTTATTGAACCGTAATGTAGTTCGAAGTGGACTAGATTCCACAATATCCAATTTATTAGTAAACCCTTCAAATTAATGTACATGAAACTACATTTTTTGATGTTCATTAATTTGTGTGTGAAACTCGGTCTCTCAACCTATTGGAAGAGCTTAGATTGTGGGTGTGTGATGACTGGTTATTGAGGAAAATATTTTGAGAAAAAATATATATTTGGAGTGATAAATTGGGGGGAGAGTGGAAAATATTGAAAGCTTTGTAACCCCTGCATTTCGCCATAAGTTTCTAGGGTTATCAAGGAGAGGATAAATAGATTGTTGGAGAAGTTAGCACGCATGATTAGAGGAGAAATTCTTATAGAATCATACTGGTCAGACCTTGAGGAAAGAGTCAACGTAGGAGACCTAGAAGTAGACGATTGAAAGTAAATGAATAAGAATTAGAGTATTGGTTTGATTAATGTGACTCACTGAGTTACAGCGTCCACTAGGGATCATTTCAATACGGTAATGAACCGTTCTTAAAAAACAGTGAAATTTTACAACGTAGATAACTAATTCAGGATGTGATATCGAATGAGTTTAATTCAGATCTACACGAGTAATCTTCAGGTCTCGTGTACCTGAACATGTTTCCCAACAAGTATGTAAAAATGTCTCGGAAGTAAGTGTTGTTGTATCAGCCAGTGACGACTAGTCGAGTGTTTTGCCTGGTCATATAAACCAGAAACTGCTGTCTGCAATGGGCCACCTGTCTGTTAGCTGCTTTCAACTGCTTCTCTACCGTGGGAAGCCACTCGCTTTCTGCCTGCTCGCATTTCAAACACCTTGTAACGTTTTCGTTATTTATCATCCAAAGGCAATCTGATCATAATACCATTAGCTTTGTTCTGGAAGATGTATTTTTCAGCAGTGCAGCTGGTTTTGTTTGCTATTATTTCTTGAACTCCATGAAACACCGAATGATAAATATAATTTTAAATGTAATGTGTCTGATTGATTATATCGATTATTTAACGACAGTATTTCAACCACTTCGTTTTCGTTGCGTCTAACACTGAAATGAGTTGTGAAATTGCGAAAGATATGAACGGATATGATCGTGGATAATTTTAAGGAACTACGTATATTTAGCATTAGTCCGCAGGTACTCGATAAAACTACTGCAAAGTCAACATTGCCGGATATCCAAAGAAAGATTTGATCCTTGGACACGAAGTTTGACATGTAGCCTTATTTTTAGGCAGCATCTCAGCATTTTGCAGAAATGATATTGAATACTGGATGGGTTGGAGAATCTGTTATAAGTAAATGTCTGAAAAATTACCTTGATCTTGTAACAAAATTAACTATCGTCTATTACTTGACACCGCTTTTTTAATCCAGTAAAAAATGTTTCACACACCTTACATATTTTAAGAAAAGTATATTAGCCTACATAAAATTCTGCTATATTATTTCTTTCCAACTTCATTCGAAACATTTTCTGTAATTCGCCCCCATTTGATCCGGCAGGCCTTTGTATTAAGAAGGCGCTTCTCCGATCGTCAGTTGTCCACGCTGTGACGTCAGCCGCGTCCTACTACCAGGCGAAACTAGTCTCTCATCACTTCAAAGCTGCTGCTTTTTCGAAACGAAACTCCTCATAAATTCGTTGAATCTGTTAGTTTTATTGCGTTTGTTGTGTGTGTGTCTATGACTTTACATGTGATTTGTTCATTTCATAAAGCTGGAAAACACTGAACTGTTGTTTCTCTACACAGGAACGAATTCCAGTTTGTGAAGTTACAGAAGACAAACCGGCAACTGTGGCTACCAACGACAAACTCAGCTCTGCACAGCAAGGTCAGTTGTATCTCTTTATTTGTAAATGGCGACTGTAGTTTGCATTCGTGATGGATCTTGGCGATTGTGTATTATGGATATAATTGATCTGTTTATGGCAGAGCTATAAATTATATAGCAGAGAGATACTGTAGTCATGTTGTAGATTTTTTCAGTGACGAAACTGTTCAACACAAAGTATATTACATTTATAAACCCGTAAAATATTTTCGGATTTCATTAAATATTAACCACACATGAAACTTTTTTATATATATTTGAGAGCTTTTTTTTTTGCTGATTTATTTCGATTCCATTTGTATTGGTTATCGTTTATTGAACCGTAATGTAGTTCGAAGTGGACTAGATTCCACAATATCCAATTTATTAGTAAACCCTTCAAATTAATGTACATGAAACTACATTTTTTGATGTTCATTAATTTGTGTGTGAAACTCGGTCTCTCAACCTATTGGAAGAGCTTAGATTGTGGGTGTGTGATGACTGGTTATTGAGGAAAATATTTTGAGAAAAAATATATATTTGGAGTGATAAATTGGGGGGAGAGTGGAAAATATTGAAAGCTTTGTAACCCCTGCATTTCGCCATAAGTTTCTAGGGTTATCAAGGAGAGGATAAATAGATTGTTGGAGAAGTTAGCACGCATGATTAGAGGAGAAATTCTTATAGAATCATACTGGTCAGACCTTGAGGAAAGAGTCAACGTAGGAGACCTAGAAGTAGACGATTGAAAGTAAATGAATAAGAATTAGAGTATTGGTTTGATTAATGTGACTCACTGAGTTACAGCGTCCACTAGGGATCATTTCAATACGGTAATGAACCGTTCTTAAAAAACAGTGAAATTTTACAACGTAGATAACTAATTCAGGATGTGATATCGAATGAGTTTAATTCAGATCTACACGAGTAATCTTCAGGTCTCGTGTACCTGAACATGGTTCCCAAAAAGTATGTAAAAATGTCTCGGAAGTAAGTGTTGTTGTATCAGCCAGTGACGACTAGTCGAGTGTTTTGCCTGGTCATATAAACCAGAAACTGCTGTCTGCAATGGGCCACCTGTCTGTTAGCTGCTTTCAACTGCTTCTCTACCGTGGGAAGCCACTCGCTTTCTGCCTGCTCGCATTTCAAACACCTTGTAACGTTTTCGTTATTTCTCTCTGGTTCTGTCGGCGAGTTGTTGACCACGTGACTGCGTTAATTATAGACCCAAACACGTTGTTTCTCACTTATTAATTACCTCGTTCCAGCACGTGAAGTGAAACCCTCCTTCGCCCTTGATTACAGGGCGGCAACACTTTGCTTCCGTCTCTCACCAAAACATGCAATACAAATTTACGTGAGAGAAAATAAAATTGTTAATAGTATCTCGTTTAATATTCACATACCGAAACGTTTTGTCGATTAGAGATTATAGACCTGTAAGTACATTTATCTCTTTGAAACAGAAAGTTGCTTAATAATATTTAAATACTGAGTTCTTACCTCAAAGAAAACACAGCCTATAACCATTACAACGATCAGTTGGTTGATGCTGTTTAGGAATATAATCTCTGGCACATATTCGTAATTTTCTTCTTTATAACAGAGACCATAATTTCTTTGCTTTATAGTTTTCATGTTCATCTTTAAATCGTTACCATTTGACACTATAACCAGTGTAGTTGAACAAGCGTACTCAAATAACCAAAAAAAACAGTCTCTCGTTTCCGAATCAGATTATCTCACCGGTAACGTATTATTATTTATTTAGTGTTCTGTCTGACGACAGGTCCGTATGAACAGGATCCTTCCATCCTTTTCTCGGACTGGGACCTGTTCATATACGTTCTTGGCAGATGATCCAGAAGTGGTTTGCCATTGCCTTCTTCTGGGTGTGAATGGAGTAATTGTTGGGATGCCACGGAGGAAAACTCCGTGTTGCCTAGACCACGGCCTTGCCCAACACAAGTTATAAATTCGGGCACCGCCGGGAATCGAACCCGAGAGCCCAGGATTACAAGGCCAGCGTTCTAACCGCTAGACCAACGTATTCTATATTAATTAGTTAGTTATTAGATTTCAATCTTTCCATCAAACAACGTGACTGGCGTTCTTGTGGTTTTCCGCAGTTGTAAAAACAAGGAACAACGTTTGAGAACACGTTGAATAAACATCCTCATTCCCTTGATACATAATGCCAGCTGTTGATGTAACGTCGTCCAAGAACCTTCGAACAGCGAAACCTTTCGCTCATAAGGCTCTGCTCAGTGCTTGCAGCAGTCGGTGTGGTGAAACCACAAACATTTGAGCGTCATAGCGTGCGGACTTAATTCGCGCTGTGCCACTCCTTTGTTTAATTTTTTAAATATATAGCGTGGTGTGGAGGCAATTACCCGGGATGCTGTGTGCATTCGTCTCTCCTTTTTTATGCTATCTGCATCAAGCTCTGGTCTCCACAGCCAAATTTATTCTGTTGGCCAACGTGCTCGACACATTAGCTTCATTGCTTAATTCCATCCAGTCCGCTCGGGTGTTATTCCATTTGAACGTTGTCGTCTTCATCGTCATCACCGTTACGATTTTATCTGTGGTTTTAGATTCGGTGTGTGTAAAATAACGTTCTAGAGGAATCCTACAATACAATATTAGCCTGGTTTAGCTTCATATTGAAGGCTGTGGTTTAGAGGTTAGTCGGCCTACTGTTTATTCGTATACTTATGAGGTCCGAAGTTCGAATCCGAGATTTAAAATTGGCAGTTTCAAAAGAGGTATCCTGAGTTGTACTACGTTTATCAAAGCAGGTGGTAGAAAATAACACAAGTAAAACACAAACGTTTCCTTTGGCATCTTTTTTGTGTAATTACTCTATTAATAATCTCTTCTTGTTTGTATTAAATCTGTCTATATTGTCTCAGGTTTCAGTCTGGGAAAAATCTTTATATTGAGCTTCTGTCTGCGAATTTCGTATTGTCTATGCTGTAAGATAGTGATAATCCAGTATTTTCAATAAATTAGTATTCCTTTTTATCGTCGGGTTAGGTTAGGTTTAAATATCTGATTTGTAATTCCTAATATTTTGTTAGAGTTTCCAGTTTCTACGTTATATGTTTCTCCTTTCTAAGTCATTATGAAGATTAAAATATACAGAACAATAATTTTGCCTGTTGTTTTCTATGAGTGCGAAACATGGTCTCTCACTCTGACTGAGGAACACAGATTGCAGGTGTTTGAGAATCGGGTGTTGAGGAGGATATTTGGGCCTAGGAGAGAAGTCGATGGGGCGTGGAGAAAACTGCATAATGATGAGCTTAAAAATCTGTACTCCTCTCCCAGTATTGTCAGGGTGATTAAGTCGAGAAGAATGAGATGGGCTGGGCATGTAGCGCGCATGGATGGGACAAGAGGTGTGGAAGCCTGAGGGGAAGAGATCACTGGGGAGACCTAGACGTAGATGGGAGGATAATCTCAGGCGGGATCTATGGGAGATAGGAGTTGAAGGAGACTGGATTTTGTTGGCCCAGGACAGGGTCCGGTGGAGGGCTTTGGTTAATTCGGTGATGAACCTTCGGGTTCGGTAAGCCATCTGGTTGGTTGGGTCCACTATTTGGGAAGCCTGAGGGGAAGAGACCGCTGGGGAGACCTAGACGTAGATGGGAGGATAATCTCAGGCGGGATCTATGGGAAATAGGAGTTGAAGGAGACTGGATTTTGTTGGCTCAGGACAGGGCTTTGGTTAGTTCGGTGATGAACCTTCGGGTTACGCAAGCCATCTAGTTAGTTAGTTAGTCATAGGTTATTATGTCCCAAACTGGAATCTGTTTTTACATAGATGAGAAGGTACTGGTAAGGAAACCCCAGAATCCTGACATTGCAATGGTGCAGAAACCTAAAGGAAACTGTCACAACTGATAGCAAAGCAGCACACGCGGTCATCAGCATCGCCAGGAGACAACGTCTTAAGATGACGAGTCACACACACATTTGCGGTTATTGCAAGCAATAAATGGAACTTTAAAGTTTCTTATGAAAATTACACTCTTTATAAACATGTTTATAAAGTATAATAATATAGTTTCCTTCTTTAAATTTATATCTATTTATTACCTTGATCTTTCATTTAAATGTACAAACTGAGGTTCCATAAAACAGCGTCTTTTGCCTAGATAAACTCCTTTATTTTTTTTATTTTTTTTACAGAAATTAAAATTTATGATAGCTAAATACTCTCTACAGTTATATATTTTCTGTATACCGTTATTTTATCCAACATTAGGCATATTGTTTGTTTTTTTATATTATGTGACTGTCATGTGTAGTAGAGTTTGTTTGATGTTTTATATTTTATTGGAATGCGTTGATGTATATCGTTATTATTTTCAAAATTAATGGAATATGTTCTATGGTCTGGTCATTGCCCGGCCCGAGGAGTGAGGCCATTGTTGTAAAGAACACGTGCTGCACTCTATGTATAGACCTCCACAATTAGCAAGCAGCTCATTAAATCGTCACAAATTCTGTGTAAAAGTTCGTTTGTCAATGGAGACTTAGCAGCAGTTGCCAAGGGAACGCGAGCCTTTGTTCACACAGTCACGACTCAGCGGAGCATTCATTTGGAAAACTGTGATGAATGGTGTTCAACACTGTGCGCAATGTTTGCTGTGCGCTGTCATTTCAGAAGATTTCCAAATCGAACGTTCGCTGTTCGTTGTGCTGTGGCCATCTGCATAATTTTGTGGTACTAGGATTTGACAGAACACGGGATTTCAGTCAGAGAAACCGAAATGAAACATTAACAGAGGTTATTGTGTGTCAACGGGAGACCTTCGGGCTTGTGTGCGATGTAGGAACTCTTGGACTAACTGGTGTAGCACTTGGTATTATCAGCTCTAAAAAAAATTAAATGAATTTTACCAGATCATTCAGGTTAAACCGCAGATTAAATGAACACAGTTCAGGACCGGTGGTTGATATATGATATACGTATGTATATCAGTGTCAAATATTATATAGAAATAAAT